AAATTTTAAATTAAATTTTAATTAAATAAAATTACATATCACTTTTACCATGAATTCCCGAATGAGTCCAGCAAAAGGATTTCCAACTCCATCATTCTGAGGCATAGCTACTAAGGGTGTAGCGGAGCTACCACAAGCTAGAGGGTCATCATCCATCCTACCTTTCCTACCTTTGCGCTCTCAAACCATCTATATAAAAATTTTCAAATATTCAAGATATTTAGGTAGGTGTATTGAGGTCACTAATTTGGTATACCAACAATGATTAAGATTCGAGTTAACATGTCAAGGATCATGCACTTGGTTTACACTAGGTGCAAGAAAAATTCCAGAACAAGCAACCATGTAACGAGTACTAGCCAATTTGAAAAAAATGGAATAATAACTTAAGAATAGATGTCCAAGCAATGCAAGAGTCTTAGCATGTCCCTTAAGAACCCACACTCACCTTACCACGCTCTTAGCATGTACACCTAATTTAATTTCCTAGTTAAGTTTTAAGAATCCTAGGTATTTTGTCAAACCTAAGCTTTAATATCACAAAATCAGTCATGCCCCCAATCTCAAAGTGAAATAGACGCCATACACTTGTGAGTGGGATCCATAAGTGCATCAGGTTCAGAACCAAGTTAACTTATTATTCATAATCAATTATGAATAAATAAAATCTATTAATACCTTTATTACTATTAAAATTTAAATAATGTTTAAATAAATACTTCAAAGTCAACTTATGTAATAATTGTAAATCAAATCCTCGACTTTCTTATAAGTCCAAAAGAACTAAATCAAGTCTCAACTAAGTCGAAACTATTTCTAATAAGTATCCGTTGCATGCCCTAATTCCCAATGTCTTTAGTATCGTTACCTGAAATAGTGGACAAGAAAAAATGTGAGATATATTTTCAGTAAGTGAATATTAGGTTTTCCCTTTTTATTTATAAATTTTAAAATTAAACATGCCGACAAGTATAAATCAAGTATCAAGAAAAATTGGTATAAGTACGGGAAATAAAATATACGACTTCTTTATAAGTCATGGCCAATATTTATAAACCTCCCATTAGCAGGCACAAGATTTGCTAGTGTATAATCTTACAAGCAAAATAACAAATATAATAAAAATAAATCGGTTCTACAAATAACATGTCGATATATGCTAGCGTTTATAAACCTTCCACTAGTGAGCACAAGTAGAATATGACTATATAAGAGATTAAAATAGGCTAGTAAGTACATTTCAAGTAAACATATTTTTTTCAAAAAAACATGTATTATAGGGATTAAGCCGCATGTATTAAAAACTTTTTATGAATAAGCTTACTTAACCAAATAAATTCTAATTTAAAATAAAATGAAGTTCAGTTTAGTCATGGTAACTAAACCAAAATAGGTTTCTAATCCCACCACAATTTCAAAATCGATAAAAATTATGTTTTAAAATTATATTTAAAATCAATGACAAAACCATAAATTTATTTACTTCAAAAATAAAGATTTTAAATTTAAAATGCGTAAATAATTAAGAACCTAAAATTTACATTGAATATTAATGAAAAACAACCTAGAATTACTAATTTTAATTTAACTTATTATTATTTAATTTTATAAGATTTATATTAAATTAACCACATATGTATCTGCACCTGTTTACTAATTAAATTTGACAGTGTTGACACCACTGTGTCAACCCCTTAAACTTGTCGCACAACGCTCATGTATTGCACTGCACCACACGCCACCACTGGTCCCATCTACTTTTTTATTCATATTATTTTTATGGACTAATAGGTGTCAAAACTTGATCTGTTACAGGATTAGAGTGTCAAAAATAATGAAAATTTTTAGAACAGTTGAGCGATGGCGCCATCATGATGCATCATCGCGCGCGCAGCAGCACCTAGCTCCCACACTCAATCGCGTCAAGGCTGCTGTATAGCGGTTCTTTCGTCCCCTTATTTGCTACTTATGAATATATATATATATATATATATATA